GCAAAACAGACAGGCAGACAATGAGGGTACTGCTTATTATATATACTAATAATTTTTTTTAAAGAACAGAACAGCAAGAGGACAAAGGAAGTTACCCTAATAAAAAGTAAAGATCAACTGCCCAAATCCCAGACCTGAAAACATACAAATAGAGAGTCAACAAACTCAAAATTTGTTCATTGAAAAATCTAATAATTTGGCTGTACCCTGGCAAGACTAAGTAAAAGAAAAACAGTATCAATATCCAGAATGCAAAATGATACATCAATACAGATCCTACACGTAAGAAATGTAGTAAGAATATTGTTTAATAATAATTTCATGGCAATAAGTTGAAGTTTAAATAAAAATACAAACTCCTATACAAAAGAACTTAAAATTGACACAGGAACTAACAGAATATCTAGTCTGAAATCTATTAACAATAGTGAATCTTGACTACTCTTCCCCAAACAAAATCACTCCTGTCCTGAATGCTGTCAGGAATAAATATTTCTAAACATTTAAAAAAGAAAGAAATCCAATCTTACATAAACTCTTTGAGAAAAGTGGAAGAGACTGAAATCATTTTATGATGCAACATAACGTTGATACCAAAATACCACAAGGACGCTACGATGTGGAAACTTATAGGCCAATCTTTTTTATGACTACAGATGACATACTCTTTAATAAAACATCATCATGCTGAATTCAGGGATACACAAGCAATATATATAATAAAACACAAACTGCATTTATTCCAGTAATTAAGTTTGGTTACCATAGAGAATCAAGGTAATTCTCCACATTAATAAAAATAAGGAGAAAAATTATTTGATACTCTCAACACAGACACAAGAAATCTGTATTAAAATCCAACACCCATTCTTAGCAGTGCTATCTGATCAGATATCCCTATTATTTCTTCAGTGAATAACAGACATTTATGGAGTAACAAGTCTATCTACTAAAACTATATGTAGAGAAGCCACGATAATCAAGGTGTTGAAAATGCTACTCGGACTGTTCATTTGTGGTGGTGTCAGTTTTAGATGTCAGAGCGGACTTGCTGTCCATAACCACTGCAATTTATCCTAGTGGCTGTATCTGTTTGAGACTCAGTTTCCCATGCCCCTCATCCCAGGAGAGTATCTAATGTCAGGATCTGGATCATTCTTGTAAGTCTTTACCCTATGGTAATTTAAAAGATTATTTATTCCCAAGTATTGGAGCATATTGCTTATTTTGTAATCTGTAACTTAAATATCACATGTGTCTCCTATCCCCACAAACTTTACACACCAGAGAACAGAACAGTGATTTTTTTTTTTAAGTCTTCAGTGGATTGGAAGCCAACAATGACATTATTTAGAAAGTGAATTATTGTTCTATATAGGAACTTCTGGCCTCAGAGAATTGGTTCCTGAATCACTTCATTTTAATTGTGAGCTATTCCTTAGAGATTTTCTAGTGAAACCTTCTTATTTTACAGATGAGGAAATTGAAGTTAGGTGATATTATCAGGCAGGATTAATTAAGTCTGGAGGACTGAGAAAATCTTGGCTTCTTCTAATAATGTTTTCTCCATGCAACAGATGATCTCTATTTCTCACTGAATTAGCAGAAAAGGTAATTATAAGATAAATCTCATCTTTAAAACCTCAAATAAAACAAGAGTAAATTAAAACACATGAAACATTCTAAGACTTCTCCTATTTGCTTAGTATTTAATAATTGCCTAATTAATGAATAAAAAATAATTGCTTCAAGTTAAACGATGGAATGATTAAAGGGTGCTCTAGGGATTAAAAAAACAAACAAACCACAAACCCAAGCTGAGACAGGCCATATAGGATGTAAGAAATGTGGATACTCTAGAGGAAAAATGGTGCTTTAGGATGAAAGAAGATACATAGTTTTTCTGACTGAGATCATATCTTGACACATGATTACTCATCCCAAAGTTAAAACGAGAGCACCAATGAAAAGAAAGAAGTCTGGTTTATGAAAATATAATCTTTTCTTTTACCGATTCAAAAACCATTTCTTGGCAAAAGCAGAGGAAGAGCACAAGCAAATACATATTGGAATGAGAGAGAATGAAAAATTCAGCAAATACCAAGATAACTGGAGTTTGGAAGCAGCCTTTAATGAAGTTAGAAGTAATGAGGTGAGAGGCATACTTAGAGATCTGATGAGGGAGGTTTCTGTGGCAGTCATTAGGCGGCTAGTTCTTCTCTTCTGAACACATACTGGGATTGTTTTCTGACTAATATTGGCGAACAGAAGTGACATTTGAGGATTCCTGGCCAGAGTATGTGATTTCTGGTTTGAGAACTTCCAGAACTCTCTTTTCCCTCTGGTAGTCAACAACATTCAAGATGGTGGTTGTTCTGTTAGCCACCATCCTAAGTAAATATATTAAGTAGAGATCCCCTGTGACCCATGATGCATAAGTTACATTAGTGAAAACTAAAACTTTGCTGTTCTAAAGTTTTGATTTGGGGAGTGGTTGTTACCAAGCGTAACCTCATTTGCCTGTTATAGTCTCATAAGAAATTTCAGAATTTGGGTCTGTATACTGTCCATGGACGAGTTTAGTTATCCCAGAACCACGATGCAGCAGGCAGTTATGTGCCTATCAGGTACCCCTTCAGGGAAGAACTTGTCACAGCAACAGTCTCCATCTATCAGCTGCTTGAAGAGACTGTTTCAGCAGATAAACACCACAGGCATGCTCACCTCTCTGCGGCAACTCACACCTAATGAATGGCTCACTGCGATGGCGTCTAAAGACTTGGACATTTCAGGCGCATTCCAGACAACTGTGCTGAGCCAGTTTCGCTCCAGCCCTGCCCGCGGAGCGGGCTGAAGCTGTTCTCAGGCTTACGTCATAGCTCAACTTCTCGCCCTGCCCAAACCGCTTCCTTCCCCTTCCTTCTACAGGTGGACACCAAAACGAGTAATGGAATTCTCCAGAAATGAGCACTGGCCAATGCCAACGCCCCCCCCCCTCCTCCCCAGAGGACATGAGACCCGCCTCTGACCGGCCTGGGTGGCTCAAGCTCTCCCCAGACCCCTGGACGACTTGAAAACCAAGTGGCATCTCCAGGCCAAAGTCTGGCCGACTTGAGCAAGCCTTGGAGGACTACGTTAATTCTCACTCCTTCTAGAAAAGGCCCACCCTGCCGGGAGCGCGGCCCTGGAACCAAGCCTGGTTCCCGCTCTGAGGAGCCGCGGGGAACCCCCGACCGGCCCAGGACGCTTCTGGTCCCGACCACAGCGCCCCGTGGCGCGACCCTCGGGAGGCTGAGGCCCCGGCCCCAGCTCCTCGAAGGCACAGCCGGGGCTGGGATGGGCGCCCACCCCGCCAGACCAGGGTTTCCCTTCCCCGACGCCGCGCAGCCGAGGGTACCAACCTGGGCGGAGAGCGGCCCGAGGAGGCGGATGACCGAACGCTGACGCTTGCGGGGCGGCGGGCGGGCCGCGCGGGACTCACCCCGGAGCGGCGGCGCCTCCCCTTCCACGGAGACCCTCTAGGCGCAGTCCCGGCGCTACGCCTCCTGCGGCCCGGAAGGCCGGGGCCGGCGCCAACGGGGCTGATGGAGCTTCCGGCGTGGGGGCGTGGGGGCGTGGGGCCGCGGGGGCGGGGCGGGCGGCCTGGCACGTCCGGGTTTAGGAAACGGCCCTGCAGCGGAGGCTGGACCAGCTCCTGGGACTGCGCGCGGGCGTACGCGCCCCTCAGCCCGCAGGAGGCCGCCCGAGGCGACGCGGCGGCGCCGGTTCCCCGGGAGCTCCCGGCGGGCGGGCGGGAGGCCCCGGGGCGGGCCTACTCAGCGTGTCCTGGGCGCGGGCCATCCTGGACGAGCTGCAGGGTGCCCCGAACGACGTGCACGCGGTGTAAAAGGAGTCCCTGCGTCTCAAGAGCCGGCCGAGGCGCTGCGGGAGGCGCTGGAGGCGGGTCGGGGTCGGTGTGAGGCCTTGAGTTGAGAGGCCCGCGCAAAAGAGAAACTCGAACTGGCCGAGAGCAGGTGGTCCAGGCCCGGAGCCAGGCCTACTTCCACGTGAGCCCGAGGAAGAGCAGAGGGGCATCCACTCACCGGAGGAGAACGTTGAACAAAAGACGAAAGAAAACGAGGAACGAACTGACCCGCATCTGTGACGACCTCCTTTCCAAGATGGAGCAGATCTGACGTGGAGTCGCCGACCTGCTCAGCCTCCCTCCTGTCTGTCCGGCGCGGTCTGCTGGAAGGTTTCATGTTCTTCCTGCTCTTCGCCTCGAGTCGTTTTCAAATTCGATTGCTTTGAAAAGAAGACTAAAAATGCTGTCTTTAAAGTTTAAGAAAAAAAGAAAGTCACCACCCGGTAAATGCGCTGCATGATTAACTCTGCCTCAGAGAATAAAGGCAGGGAACGTCGGTGCTAGGAGTCTAGACCGCAGGCAGGAAGATGGGGTGTTGTAGATGCATCCCTCATCGCTTGACTGGCAGTGAGGACTCCATCAGGGGTGTTAGGGGGAGCACGTTCTGTCCCTGGGTACTGTGGTGGTCCAGTTGCTCAGACTCTCACTGGTCATGAATTGGGATATTATTATATGTGTGGGAGCACATGCACTCCTTGATAACAGTGTTTCAGCCATTGGAGAATTTGGGGAGAAATAGTAGCAAGGAAAGCAGACCTGGATGGCTGTTTGGAGACTTCATGAATGATCCAGAGGAAAAATAAAAAACAAAAGACAGCAAGGGAGAGGCTGAAAGCCATGAGTGAAAGCCATAGGGTCTCCTTTGTACCATGAAAAATAAGCTCTTCTGCATTGGAAGTTTAGAGAAAACCGAAGACAAGTACTGGCACTTAATTATCAGATAACCAAGTGCCAAAGGATGTTTTATTACCAACCAAGGCACAAGCTAAGGACCCTGATTGAGAAAGAATGAAACTTTTAACATTTGAGATGGGGACATATGGATTCTATGACCTTAGGATCTTGAATTCCCGGATTCACCTGAAGTGTATGAGTCGTCTGAAGTGGTCCACCATGTCCTATTAAGAGTGAGTACCCTACTGTTTTTTAAAGATAATTAAGATGTTTCTGTCTTTCAATACAACCCTCTATCCAGGAGCTGCCCCCACTTTTCTTACAGGATACTAAGTCTCTACCTAGTCTTAAACCACTGAATAATCCAGCCAGGAGCATATTGGGTCTGTTACTAGAAGAAAGGGACTATATCCCCAAGGAGCTGTAAGACAGCCAGCATGAATTGACAGCAGCTAGGAGGTGTATGCACAGAAGGCATATGGATGCTGAGGGTGGTTATTATTGGGGACTAGGAAGCAGTATTGGATAATGGAGAGTTTTTTGTTTGTTTTTTAATTTTGGAGCATTCTTCCAAGATAGAAGTTTTAATACTCTGGCAAAGACCCTAGGAGATGGTTCAAACTTGATACTAGGCTGGTTCCTAGAAGCACTTGAAAAACAAGTGCTTTCATGTTATATGAAATTTAAATATCTGAATTGCCAGGGCAGACAGTAGAAGGAGGATTTAAAAGTCCCAGGGAGGTGGTCACACCCTACCTGGAGTGTCCTGTGTCGTTGGACGAGTGGCATGGGTATGAGATGCCCAGCCTTTTTGGCTCGATATGGGACGTTTGCTGAGCCATTTTGTTCCCGAGCTCTTCCCACGGTTAGACAGTGTCTTTGTTGGAACCTCATAGAAACTCAACTTTTCCCTTTGCTCTATCCACTTCCTTCTTATCCTTTCCAAAGGAATTGATCCCATGTGTGCTCCATCATAGATTCACTGGGTGCTAATCTACGTATTAGCGCTGCAGAAGCCAGTTTGTGATGCATGATTACAAGCATCTGGAGACAAATTTGTGGGCAAGTGAGTTGCTGAGCACCAGCTGCTTGCCAATCACCATTCTGACATTCATTTTATTGAATTACTTATCATCATCTTCATTTTACAAATGAAAATATTGTTTCAGATTATGACTCGTTCACGATTGATTAGTAAGTTATGCAGTTAAGTCTCATGTTTCCATTGTAGAAGGTTTTTCTTGCCCTTGTTGTCTATAAAATGGTTTCTTCCAAAAAGATCTTCAGAAACCTACTGGTTACACAAAGTTTCAATGACATGAAGAGAACAGGCTTAGGGACACCCATCCTGCTCAAGCCAAAGTAAAGCCACCTTTATCCATTTTAACACTGATTCAAATAAGATTTTGTCCAAAAGAGATGCTACTGCTACAAAAAAAAAGGAAATCACTGCCCTATTATGACAAAATACAATTAACTGAGCTTAGCAGAAGCTTCAGAATTGAAAATGAATTATCTTGAATATTTTACACGTGCACGCACACACACACACACACACACACACACACACACAGACAACCCCATTGTGACTATTAGGATACTTAGAATTTCAGATCACAAAATGATGTTTCCTAACACCTTTCTTTATCTTCCCTTTAGTTAATTTTATCATTGTTATTTTTACCATGGTTAATTTTACCAAGATTATTGTACCATATGATCTTGGTCATTACAATGTACATAACAATAAAATCGCTAACTTTGCTATAATGTTTATGGGTATAAACATACTGTGAGAAAACAAATAATTTTGAAATTCATAAGGCTTAAGGATATAAATATTGAACTGGAATATAAAACGTCTGAAATCATTTCAGTTTGGGGGGGTACATTTAAGGCCAATGTTACAAAGATAATTATGTACACAAAAGATTTATAGGATGCCTGGGCATCAATTATTTTATGAAGAATGATAATCATACCTTAAAATTATATTGTGACACTCAAAATATTCCAAATTTTATTTTCAGTAATATTGACTTCCACTTTATCAATATAAAACTCTTTCAAATGTTTAAATTTATGTGTCACTGGATGCTTTTATATATTATGCAGTATTTTAATATCACAGTCCAAAATAAAATCAACCAAAATGGAACAAAACAACAAAACATAGATAGGTCAACTCAGTGACCAACAATGATATTAAACACATTTGAACAACCAGATGCCCACATGAGCAATTTTTCTGTTCTTCACAAAATAGAAATAACAGTAAATCTTTAGTGTGACAACTGAAGTACTGTTGTCATGAGAAAGAAATCCCATTTTCAATATTTCAAAAATACAGTTCATTTATCTTTATATATTTTGTAAAGCTTCTTTTGAGAAAACAATCAGAGTATCATAAAAAAAGATATTGACTGTAAAGTACCAAAACTTCAATTTCAGCAAACTTCAAGATTTCATGCCTCTGAATTAGAAGTCCAAATATTTAAGAAATATAATCTTTAAGGTTCAACTTGAGAGAGGTATCCACCTCCAGTAACTGACCAGCAAATTATATTACAAGTATAGCTAGTAGTTATCCAAATATATGAGCAGTGTTGAGATTATATTCTATGAAGAAAGGGAGTCAATGTGAGTTTGGAAGATAGCTTATAAGAGATGTGTGATGGGCAAGAAAGGAAAAGATGTGGAGATGGAGATGGGGGTGGGGTGGGAGAGATCTCAGGAATTTCTCCTTAAAACCCAGAGAAATCTAGAATCCATGCTAGATCATGACCATTACCTTCCTGTCTACCTCTCTTTTGTTAAATACTGCAATAGTTTCCTAACTTTTCCAGGATCCACTCTTAATTCTCAATTGATTCTCAACAGAGGCAGAGTGATTTTTTAAAAATGCAAACATAGTTGTGACATTTATTTCCTTAAAACCTTTGAAGGGCTCCCCACTGCTCCTTATCACAATGGCCGCAATCCTTAGTTTGGCCTTTTGAGTAATGTGGACTTTTCAAGCTCATCTGCTTATATGCATTCCTCCTTGCTCACTGTGTGTTGTCAGGCCGACTTTCCTCAGTTTTTACAAGCTGGCCATGCAATTTCCTGTCTCTCTCTCTGAATTTATCAACTCCTACTCATCTTCATATCGCAATTCAACTCTTAAATTCTTCTGGAAGGCCCTCCATGATGCCTACAGACCAGATCTGATTTCTGATATGCACTGTCCACTTTTGATTTTTTTAAAAATTTATAATACATTTTTTTATTACAAAGTTTTGTACATCTGATTAACATCAGACTCTACCAGTAAACTATAGGCTCTGTGAAGGCAGACTTTATGTCTGTTTTATTCCCTTTCTGGTTTCTATATCAAGCACTGCAAACCTCAATAAATGTTTGGGTGATTGTGTGAATGATGAAATAAATAAATAATTGATTCTTATTGGTTATCTGTTGGGTCCAATCCAATCCTTGTTCATATAGAAGTGTTAGGTTAATCTAATTATGAACTTACTTTCTGTTCCTAGGAGTAAAGTTCAAAGTAGAGTCCCTCAACAACAACAACAAAAAAGTTAAAATAGGGAGAGGAACTCTTGACCCAAGGAACAATCCAGAGCCACAGCTTGTATGAGTCCATGGTAGATCATGGTCTATGTATATGGTATCCCCTGGAATGGAGCAGCCATACCCGAAGCTCCTGGAGAACACAGCCCTGACTCCATGAACTGGGAAAATACTAGCAACCTTTAATGCTGCTTCCTACCTTCTCTGGGCCAAATTTAAAAGAAAAAGTAAGAGCAGAGATGGAGGAAAGAAGAGAACACTTAGCTAAAGAGGAAGGGTTCAATTTTACAGCATATTCCAATCCAGATGGATGTAGTGCAGCTAACAGTAGAGAAAAGGTGGAGTATTTTTTTAACTTGCCTGCCGGTCCTTGAGGAGTCGTATGCTCGTATTTTAAACATAAATTCAATCCATGTGGTTATAATTACATTTTGTCAGCTGGATTTATAGTTAAGACACTCAGGCTGGAACTAATTTAGGGGGATGTCTAGTGGCCAAAGAAATAAAATTTTGTTATAAATTGGTATCTTCTTTGGGTGCCCCAACCCACAAATGGAGTTTCAGGGACCTCTACCAGGCTCTACCAATAAGAGGGTAATAGGTCTAGGTATAGAAAGGATTCATGTGGGTCAAGGTATTTGGGTTTTATACATACTTCAAAACATCCATATTATTAAGACATTAGATGGATAAGCTAATACTTTAAAATGAAAACAAATTCTATATTAATGTTTATCATCATCATCGCCATTATCATTTTCATTATTGTAAAACATATTTCTGTAACTTATACCAGAATGTACTACCATTTAATAGTTTGGGCAGGGGGCGGGGGACAGTTGCCTTGATAAAAGACTGAAAGCAAGACAAACCTGGTTTAAAGGTTTGGGAACACATTTTTGTTTCCCTAGCCCCTGCCAGAATCATAGATGCAGGCAATTCAACATATCAAACTGCATCCCAAATATAACAGTCCCAAAAAGATTAGTGTAGGATATGAACCATTCCCAGTTTAAATATTACCCTCCTACCTTTTCCCTCCCACAGCTGGAAAAAAAACCTGAATTCCAAAACAATTCTCAGGGCTATTAGTAACAATTTTTGAAATGGTATCTTTCTGAGAAAAAAATACAAAGATCTTGTTATATGTTTAAGAAAAATAGTTAAAAGTCACAAGTGGTTTTAATTCATATTTATTTTTTTCCCATAAGAGGGGAAAGAAAGTAATTAACTATATGGTAGGTGTTAGGGAGGCTTTAAGCTGATAATGAGGCGTTTTAAGTGGGTCTCCTGGAATAGCTCTACATGTAATATTGCATTTTGTCCTCCTAACTATCCAATAAAGTAGATTATACTCTGTCTCCATTCTATAGATAAGAAATTTACCTGTGCTCCCTCACTACATGGAGTAAGCAGGATTCAAAAACAAGTGCTCACATTCTTAGGCACTATTTCACGAATAATCTCTCCTATTACCAAGGATATTAATTAGTAGAAATTAAATGTGTTATGCCAGTAACAAGGTTAGGGCTTTAAGATAAACAAATGAGATAAAGAAAAGTGATTGCAACCGCAAGAATGAGGTGAGAGAGGGACAGATTGGGACCCCAAACCAGTGAGGCCGAGACTGCCTAGGACTAGACTGTGAAGGCTCCACTCCTAGGAA